GTATAATTACTTAGGCTTATAAAAAGTAAATATATATTACTCTTTCCTCTATAGAAAGTAAGTATATAGCTATATCTTTAGCTATCTAAGAGGTATTATAGCTATAGCTTTTCCTTAAGGAACTTAATATAGAGTCCCTTTTATAACTTCCTACTATAATCTATAAGGATAACTAAGGCGCTATTTACCTTACTAAAAGCTATAATTTATACTAACGAATAAAGTATATTAACGTTAAATACTATTATATTAGAGACTAAGTCTCTAGAGGGGTATATAAATTCGTTAAAATCTCTACTATAGAGTAGGCCGTAGATAGCTTTACTAAGCCGCTATAGCGAGTCTAATTCGAGAGGTTTCTATACCTTTTAGGTATAAAAAAGCTCTGATTTAATAGCTATTTAACGGTTTTTTAATAGCCTTTATAGCGAGCTTAATTTAAAGGGTTTAAATACCTTTTTAAGCTTAAAAAGCTATATTAAGGTATTATTAATATATTTATATAATCACTTTTTATGTTTTGAGTGAGATTAGTGGATCGAGGTCTAGGGGGGTATTAAGATAGCTTAGTAGTTAGGTGTGTCACTAGCGTGGTACGCGCCTACGTATACTACCTTCGTAGCTTAGATAGGTACCTCTTACTAGATATAATCTCACCATTCCTTTCTCCCCCCTTTTAGGTCTGCTACGTTCTCTTAGTAGCCTCTAATAATAGTCTAAGGACTAGATTATTAAAAAGATTAAAAAGGTTACTTAATATTTAAAGTAGTAATTTAACTATAAAGTAAAATTAATTATAGGCGATAATATAGGTAAATATACCGGTATCGCTAATTTCTGCAAGTTAGCTAGTATTACCTAGGATCCTATACCTTCCTATACTAAGTAGTATAACGGTCTAGCTAAAGTAAAAAATCGATAGCTTATTAAGCCTCTTATAGCTATTATAACCGGAAATTAGCTACCTAAATATCTTTAGAGAGAGCTGCTTCTAAGTATTAACTTTACTATAAACCGCCTTTAGTTTTTAAAGATTAGTATAATGTTACGGCGTAGCCGAACAAGTTGCGATACCATACTATATATACCGGACTCTGGGCAGTATCCGTAACTGCGGATATTAGTGATCTTTTATAGTCTTGTTGGTTAGTATCCGCCCAGAACGCTTCCGTAACAAAATATCCGCAGTTACCGGTCCAAGGTCTTAGGTTCGAATCGCGGATGATTCGAGTCTGCGACCGGGGGGCTAACAAGAAATACTAAGGACGGCTAGGTTACCTACCCGTTCCCTGGTTTACGCTTGGGGGTCTACGATATTGCGTATAGCTGATACCCGTAGAGTACGGATGCCGCGAGTTATGCGAAGGGGTTTTCGGTATACCCAAAAACCGGGGTCCCACGTTAAAACTAGAGATCGAAAGGATCCTAGGCGTGAGGGCACACCTTAGGGAAAGAGGAGTATAGTTGTTACGGCGTAGCCGAATAAGTTGCGATACCATACTATATATACCGGACTCTGGGCAGTATCCGCAACTGCGGATATTAGTGATCTTTTATGGTCTTGTTGGTTAGTGTCCGCCCAGAACGCTTCCGTAACATATAACTTTATACGAGGTATTCTATAGAAATAAACTAAATATATCTAATCTATATATACTTAGCTACTAAGCCTAGTATTTCGTTCTAAAGGAACTATACTAGTTAAAGCTTTCTTCTTATATATTAGAAGCTTATCTAGTAGGCTATTTATAAGCTAGTAATTATCGGCTATATAATATATATTTCAGAAAGATTATTATATCGCGTAATATAGTATTTAATAAGATACCTATTAAGGTACTCCCGAAGCCTACGTACGACTTAGATACGTTATGTTTTCCTTTACGGGACGCCGAAAATTATAATTAATACTGCTATATTCTAACCGATTTTTTGGATAAGAATTTTCCGAGTTAACGCGGTTCTTAAGGTATATCTCCTATACGCCTATAGCTAGTAGTTCCCATACTATTTTTAAGTCAAAAGGACCTTCTACCTTCGGAACGTACGAAGCTATCTTAAGTCCTAAGACTAATATTAAGAAGCGAAGTTAAATAGATCCTTAGTCTAGATAGTAATAGTATACTAATTGTTCTAGCTATTCCGACTATAAAGACTATTCTAGCCGCCGAGAGTATTCCGGGCGTAGAGGCTACTCTAAATTTTCCTATAGATATAAATACTATATAAGATAACTCGTCTTTTAGTTAACCTATTAAGGATATTTAAGTTAATATTTAATATAATATTTAAAGCAACGATCCAAGTACTATTTAAAATATAGTTTATAATAGTAGAGAAAGTTAAGGTCTTAAGGAATCTATTCCTCTACTAAGACGCTCTATCTATATTTAAAAAGCCTTCTAGAGCCGCTATTAACTCTTAGCTCTATTTAAGTAGCTACGTAGTTTTAGCCTAAGAGGCTTACGATAGTATAGATATACTATACTATTAAAATATTATTAAAGGATCTTATATAAACCTTCCGCCTAGATAGAACTTAAGTCTCCGAGTTTTTCTCTCGATAATATCGGAACTCGATAAGATAGTTTCGAAACACGATATATTAGTTCTAGAACTCGATAAAATGGTTTGTTTTTTGTTAATAGTACCTCTACGCTTTTTAACTCCGAGCTAAAGTCTTAGAAGGAAGCTATATTATATCCTAGACCTAAGAGGTCTAAATAAGAAGCTATAATTAATAAGGAGCTTAAAAAATAGCTAAAAAACGGTACTTAGACCGTTATAAGCCTACCTAAGGGTAGGAAACCTATTCCTCTTTAATAGGTCTTTAAGATTAAATATAATAGGACCTATAAAGCGCGTCTTATAGCTAAAGGCTTTAAATAGCGCGAAGGTATTAACTACCTCGATATTTATATATTAATAGCTAAGGCTACTAGCTTTAAGCTTTTTATAGTAATTATAGCCGCCCTTAGCTAGAAATATTATACGATTAATTTTATATCTGCGTTCTTTAATATAGAACGAAAAGAAGAGATCTATATTAATCTTCCTAAAGGAATTCGCAAAAAGTATCTAGGAATATATTCTCTTCTTATAAAGACGCTCTACGGACTAAAGTAGGGTCCTAGAGAGTAGTATAAAGTAGTCTTCGATATATTTATAGTACTTAGATTTAAACGATCTAAAGCGGATTACTATATCTTCTATTTTATTTAATATCTTAATTAACCTAATTAGCTACTAAAGTATATCTATATACTAATTTATATTAATAACTACCTAATTATTTCGCTATCCGAAGACTATATTCGATAGCTAAAAACCATATTATTAAAGATCTTCGATGTTAGTAATAATAAGGTCCCTAATTAATTCCTTATAATCGATATTATTTAATATAATAGTAATAGTACTATCTTCTTAATATAGGAATCCTACGTTAATTAGATCCTTAAAAGATTTAATATATAAGATATTTATATAGTTAATTTACCCTTTTTTAAAAAGGAAGTTCTAAAGCTATATAATAGTACGGCTTCGGCCGCGGACGTCCTTAATTACTATAAGAAGATCGGTTCCTTAATTTAGCTAATAGTTAATACTAGACCGGATATTTAATATTTAGTTACTAAACTAGCTAGATATTCGTATAATCCTATAAACCGCTATTTTACTATATTAAAACGCGTTTTTCGGTATTTAAAGGATACTAAAAAGCTATATATCTATTACCGCTATAACCTTAAACCCCTTTATAGCTACGTTAATACTAATTAGGTAGGTAGGTATATAGATAACGTAATATCTATATCCGGCTTCGTATTTAAGCTAGTAGGGGGACTTATCTTATAGGTCTCTAAGAAATAATCTTACGTTACGCTTTCTTTAACCGAAAGTAAAAATATATCGCGGTATTATTAGCTATATAGGAAGTTATATAGCTATATCTTTTCTTAAAGGAGCTTTAATTTGAAGTATTTCTAGACCTTCCGACTCGTATTTTCGAGGACAATAACAGTACTATCTACCTTACGGAGAATCCGGAATTCTACTAAATGATAAAGTATATTAATATAAAATATTATTATATTCGCTATTAAGTCTCTAAGGGTATTTATAAATTTGAATATATCCCTATAGAGGAGTAGGCCGCTAATAGCTTCACAAAACTACTTAGAAGGATTTAATATAGCCGATTTCTTATACTGTTAGGGATATAAGATACCCCTAGGTAAGGAATTATACTAATATAAGGTATTTTTACCCTATTAGGATCCTTTACTAATAGCATAGTTCTTATAAGTATAGGTGCTTTCCTTTTTAGGAAGGAGGTATGGTTTGTTAGTCTAGGGGGATATTTGAATGATTCTGCCGCCTTACTACCGAGGGACCTATAACCTATATTAGATAGCCTCTCTTCCTCCATCTTCTTCCTCTTACCAATTAAGTTGCGTTTCACCTTTCTCTTCTCCTTCTTGTAGATCACCTACAAATAACACTAAACTTTATTCACGCTTGAAGACTCTGTGTGTAGTTCATGTATAGAATATGTGTCGCCAAATAATTCGTCCTGATTCTGGATGTTTTAGGTAAGCAAACCATCGCAAGCACTTGACTAAGATTAGTTATTCGAGTCAGCACACTTACAGGGGCCCTAGCGACAGTCAGAGACTTACATGGTGCTGGGGATCAGTACTCTGGCAGATCCTGTGATTCTGCCAGGTATAGCCGAACTCATCCTTGGAAGAGGGTATGTTAAGTCGAGGCCCCTCTTTTTTTTTTTTTTCCAATGGTACTCACCCCTTGTTTCGCGATATCAAGGTATAGAAGTGATGAGTTGAGCGATTCGCCAGCGCTGGAATCAATTTATTATTGGATAAAAAAATACATCTTTAACGAAAGGAGTACTAAAGGAGTACTAACGAGGCTGATATAGAATGAGGATGAGACAACGATCAAATCTACCGATTTGGAACCATGTGACATGATCAAGCCTACTCTTCCAAGTTCTTTGACAGTTGGTCCTCGAAGTCCCGCATCGCCTGCTCTTCTTCCTCCTCAGTCCTGTCCCCTTTAATCTCTACATCTGCAGTCGAATAAACCTTGTGAGAATCTTGAGCAGCCTTTTTCTTCAGAGTGGAATCTTGAGCGTTCAGATTGAGCTGAAATTTGTAACGTCGATATTCCTTGCCAGCTTTCTTGATGACTTCTCCAACATCAATTCGGCTTCCGATTCTTGTGTCGTGGTTTCCCCCGCGAGCCGGGGCAGCCCGGTGACCAGGCTCACCTTGTCCATTCAATATCGTACTGCGGCGGCTCTTCGACTGCTTGAGGTAGGCCACGAGAGCCTCAAGTGACTTTCGGGTCTTGGAGGGCATGGTAATATATGTAATGAGACCTTTGCGTCTCGAGAGTGTTGAATGTAGTTGCTGCTCGGGGATCTGCCAGTATCGTGACAGGAGGCAGGGATAGAACACCCACCTGAGGCTGACGGATCGCTGAGGAGTAAAGCCTGTCCGGCATTCTTTAGATGTATTTTCGTGTCTTCTATATCTGGCCAAAGAAACTTCTATGAGGTGATGAAGCCTTAAGCACACGCTGCAGGCAAACTGGTCCGAGGCGGTTTCTGATTGCCAATCAATCTGTCAGTAGCGTGACAGAGCTGCAACATAGCCCCTCGCCCAGGCAGCGAAGGAAGAAAGCGTATCGCTCATTATCATTTGGAACTAGCTACATGCATGTAGAACGATAGAGCGATTCGCTTGGGGCAGATGCTGGCGCTGATTAGAGGCTTAATTGAAATGTTTCGAAAGCATTGGTTAAGCGGATTGCCGAACAGGGAGGTTTTTGTTACGCTTTGACATCTTAAGCGCCCGCACTGAACGGATAACAAGGTCCTGTTCTGTATGACAGGCTGGAAATTCCGTCACGTGATGCGTTATTATTCAAGAGTTTGGAGGCGACAAGGTTGGAATTGTGAGATGGTGTCAAGTCGCGGACCATCTACCTTGTAATCTCTACCCTGCAACCTAAAGACAGAGGATGATGTCAACAACGCTGGTTAGCTGCCATGAACAGTTAGAACCACCATGGCGCCGGGGGAAAAGAAAAACTCCCTCTCCTTCCCGATTTACGTAAGGCAGAGGAGGGCAGAAACTGCTGACTAATAGCTGTAACAAATGCGCTCGCGTCTCGAAGTCACGTGTTGGCTGTCTCAATTCCCTTTGACTGACAATTGGCATGATCCCAATCGTTCTCCAACTGCCAAGTCTCCCTTTACAACACCTGCACTGTCATTCCTGACTCGTGCAACAAAGCAGCATCTGGCAGTTTAATGTCCGCGGGATCAAGAGCCACCTGACTTTCTGGATGGTAAGCATGATCAAAGATATTCCATGAAATATGTGTCGACCACCATCCACGCGTCTTGGTTGCTCTATTCGCAGTGTAAACCCAGGCTCGAAACGACACTTCCGCTCAATCCCTAAAGCTTCAAACTTGTCATATGATCACAATCCCGCCAGCATGGACTCGGGCTCTTCCGAGACCGGTAAGCAAATCCATTTGAGCACCATTAGCATATAACTAACATGTATCAGATTGGAATTCTAACCCTGAATTCTTCAAATTCACGCGTGGTCGCTTTATTGTGGATGAGGCAGAGAATCTCCGAAAGCGAGAGATCAAATTCGACCTTAACAGGCTCGCAAGAGTCGCCGCAGACTCAGTCGGAGCCGCTCGATGCATTGCCATCAAGAAGTATCCCGACGGCATGTTCAACAAAGCCTTCCTTATGTCTATGGATGATGGACGAGAAGTAATAGCGAAGGTGCCAAACCCGAATGCCGGCGTCCCGCACTATACCACTGCCAGCGAAGTGGCCACGATGGACTTTGTTAGTTTATCCTGAACTCCGTCAACACCAAGTCTTGCTAACCCGCCTGGACCATGAGGCCAGAAAAATTCTTGACACACCGGCGCCTCGCGTATACGCGTGGAACTCGCAAGCAAAAACGCATCCCGTGGGGGCTGAATTTATCATCATGGATAAAGCCGAAGGTGTTCCGCTGTCCCAAGTATGGAGCACGATGAAATTACCCCAGAAGCTCCAAGTCCTCCTTGCCGTGACACGCCTCCAGAAGCAATGGCTAAGCGTTTCTTTCTCCCATTACGGGAGCTTGTATTACACGGGAGACGCGCAGCCACCAGCAGGTAATCACTATATCAAGGATGGCAAGGTCGTCAGTGATTCAGAGTTTGTGATTGGTCCGGCTACAGGCCGGGACTGGTGTGATGCAGGCCGATCGATTCTGGACGTCGATAAGGGACCATGTACGTTGTGAATCGTGTCATTCCTGTGCAGCTACTAATAAGTTTGTAGGGGCATCTTTAACGCAGTATCTGCAGGCAGTTGGCATGCGAGAGACGAAGGCTATTCAGTGTTTAAAGCCCCCCAAACAGATTGCCTTGTTCTGTGGCCCAAAGCTCTACCAACCAGACACAGGAAAGAAAAGTACTGCTTTAGCCTGCTACCGACAAGTCGTCGATGCCCTTATTCCCAAGGATACAGCCATCACCAGACCCTGCCTCTGGCACGATGATTTGCATGATGACAACGTCTTCGTAGACCCGCATAATCCCGAAAAAATTACGGGTATCATCGACTGGCAGTCATGTCATATCTCACCCCTCTTTAACCACAATATCGATCCTGCTTTCCTTGACTGGGATGGCCTTGAACCGGAGACACTTGATCTTGCACCACGGCCTACTCTCTCCGGGCTTTCACCAGAAGAACGCTCCACGGCCGTACATGAATATACGACCCAAAACGTGTTGATTGGTTGGCGGAAACTAATGCAAGCCAAAACCCCAGATTTATATCGAGCAGTCGAGTTTCGAAAGACAGCAGCCTTCGGGCTGATATTTCTTGCCCACCGAATGTTTGAATACGGCGAGGCACACTTCCAATCGCTTTTGGCCGATCTGAAGGGCACGTGGGCGGACTTACCTGCCGTCACGAGCGATATCCCATTCCCGTTTAACTTTTCGGAAGCAGACTACGAGCGTATTCAAGTGGATAGCGATGGCGCAGTGGCAGGAACCGAGCTTGTTGCAGAGGCCAAGGAGAGACTGGGCGATTTGTGGCCTGACAAGGGCTTTATCGAGCGCGAGCGGTACCGTGATTGCAAAACTGCTCTTGACGGAGTAAAGGGTCTGATATTGGAGCAATTAGCTGAGACTGACGAGGAAAGGGCTGAGTACGAGCGTTGTTGGCCATTTGATTAATCGATATCATCTCACGGGACGGATGAGCTTCTTCAATGACCGACCGTCCATGTGCGATTGCAAGAGCCACGGGCGAAAAACCCGCCTGTATGCGTTGCATCCAGACCAGTGACAACGGTTATCCATATAGTTCTTGTGTTCAACTTCATACCAGAAGGAAACTGTGCAGTTCTCATGTTGAAACAGCGACGTAGGTCGACTAAGAAGTTCGCGGTTCAGAACAATCTCATTCGATACCTCGGCTCTTCGTATCTTTCCATGTGACAAAAGTCTACTTAAACGGGCAGTCTTCTCCCTCTCTAACAGGAGCAGCCGAGAATGGTTATCTTGCAGAAATAAAATGCTTGCCTCGGAGTAGACGCCTAAGATGGAATCGCGCGAGTTGGGTCTATGGCCTCTGCAGTTTCAGACCAACGATCAAAGGCTCCCTAGCTGGAGAGAGATAGTAACTCAAGACATAAGTTGCTAGTAGATATACCAGATGAGCATCTACGAAAGGCTATAGTCGTCATGTAAGATAGCCTTGTAAGTATTAGTGAGCTACGGTGAAACGTAGCACTGACTAAAAGAGGGGAGAAAGGGATAGTGAGATTGAATATGGTAAGAGGTACTATCTAAACTACTAGTAGTAGTATACGTAAGCGTGTACCACGCTAGCGTGACGCGCCGGACCACTAAGCTATCTTAATACCCCCCTAGACCTTAATCTACTAATCTTACCTAAGAAGTAATACCTAAAAACATAAAAAATAATTATATAAATATATTAATATCGCCTTAATATAGTTTTCCGAGGTTAGAAGGTATTTAAATCTCTCTAACGAAGCTTACTATAAAGGCTATTAAATCAGAGCTTCTTTATACCTAAAAGGTATAAAAACCTCTCGAATTAGACCCGCTATAGCGGCTTAGTAAATCCGTCCGCTACCTACTCTGTGATTAAGATTTTAACGAATTTATATATCCCCCTAGAGACCTAGTTCCTAATATAATAATATTTTATATCGATATACTTTGTCTGTTAATATAAATTATAGCTTTTAGTAAAGTAAATAGTACCCTAGTTATCCTTATAAATTATAGTAGAGAGCTACAGAAGGGATTATATATTAAGCTTCTTAAGGAAGAGCTATAGCTCTAATACTTCCTATATAGCTAGAGATATAGCGATATACTTACTCTTAGTTAATAAAAGAGCTGTTAGGGGGTCTGTATCGTAGGATAGAGATCCTGTTAGCTAGGCAGAGAGTCTAAGTCTATGGTTCTGATTTTCAAAGACTAAATCTTAGGGTATAGTAGACTTCACTAGTTCCCACAATATATACATAGGGGTTCCGCGTACCGAGTCCCTATAGCCCTACACAGAGCCTTTAGGGTTATTACCCTAAGGCGACGCGGGGTCGATTCGATCGTGAATCGTCCTAAGTCACCACGCATGACTTACGCCGTGACAAGAGCTATATATATCTATATTTTATATACGTAAGTAATTATATTACTTATAAGTTTAAAAAGAAAGCCGGACGTTAATATACTACTATCTATATATTTAGCGGTCTAGTCTATATTAATAAAACTAAATAGAGGATCTAGTAAGTAGAAGTACGCGATAGTAAATACTTTAGATTCTTTAAGATATTAAAAGATTCGTTTAAATATAGTTATATACTTCGTAGAAGGATTATAGATATATCTTATAAGTTTCTTACTGTAAATATAATATCCGGTCGCGAATTAACTATTAACTAGATAAGTAAACTAATTATCTTACGGTAGGCTTTAACCTCCTCTAGAGTTATAGTATCTCTATATAGTTATAGGATTTCCTTATTATAAAAAGGTATAGGGACTATATATATATCTTATAAGTTAAATTTTATAGGGATTTTACGAATATAGGCGAGTTAAGAGAGTATTATCTTTATACTATCTAGAGATTTAATAATATTAATAGTAAGAAATCGTATAATAGTCCTATTATCGGTAATATTAAAGGATTTATAAATTTAGTCCTTAAGCTATATAAGAGACTTATCTAGTAGAGTTATAATTAGTATATTATTAATATATAAGAGAAGATAGAGCTTACGCTTTATATATATAAAAACTAAGTAATCTGCTTTTAGATAAGTAAAACTAAGTACTATAAGAGTACTATGAATAGTATTATATTATTTATAAGGACTCTATTTTATACTATAAAGAGTCTTTAAAAGTAGGCTATATTTACTAGATTCCTTAAAACTATTAGATAGCTTAATATAAATCTCCTCTAGGAGCTCTATATTAAGGAACGCTATAATAAAGTTAACGTAATATATCTACTAGTTAAATTAAGCCGTAATCGCGTAGAAAATCTTAAAGCTTAAAGCTTTAGCTATACTTATAAATATATTAAGATAGTTAATTCCTTTGCGTTACTTAAATCCTTTTATAGTAAGATATACTTTATAAGACCTATTATCCTTAATTCGAAAAACCTACCGAAGTAGTAGGAGTATTTTCTTATTAGATTTAGTACTTTTTAGAATATTATATATATACTAAGTACCGTTCTTTAGCTACTTTTATATCTCCTTATTAGTAGCTTCTATTAAGAATATAAGAGAGCTACGGACTTAGATTTCTTCTATAGAAGAAAATAGTAGCGGAAAGGAGCGACTATGATCATGTGACCGAGTACGGACTTAGATTTCTTCTATAGAAGAAATTAGTATTAGAGGGGAGATACCCTAAACCACGTATTAGAGGGGAGATACCCTAAACTACGTATACTATATTAAAAACCTAGGATATACTATAGCTTCTTCTTCTTTCTCTTTTTCCCTTCTAGCTCTTAAGATCCTCGAATACTATATAGATAGTTAATAAAAGAGTTTATAAGTCCTTCTGAACCTTCCTAACTAGTATATAATATTATCTTAAGAGCTCTAATACTCCTTCTTTATATTTCCTTTTTTAAAGTATTAGCCGGGTAGTAAGATACTATATCCTCTAGCTAACCTAAGAATCTTTACTCTTATAAAACTAATAAACTAAACCGATAAAGATCTATAGCTATAGTAAATATAGATAATACTCTCTCTATAAAGAGTATTAAAGAAGGTATCTTCCTTAATAACTAGGAAGATAACTAACTAGAATAAATCCTTTGATAGATAGAAGGAAATCTAGAGAACGCTAAAACTACTTAGCTACTAAGATAATAGATCTATAAAATAAGTAATATACTAAGAATCCTAAAGTAGGAGAAGAAGAGGAACGAATAGTTAACCGAAGAGAATAAAATACTAAAGTTACTAAATACTATAGAATAGACCCCGGATATCTAGTATATAGAAGAAGCCTATACTAATCTTTATACTAATTATAATAAAGCTATTAAGGAACGTAATAGACTTACTATAGTAATACGATTTATATAGATTAGCTAGAGAAATAAGAAAGGAATTAGTTTAACTTATACTATACCTAAGACCGAAGGACTCTACTATAATCCCGGGCCTATAGCTACCTTAGGTACCTTAACCCTTCCTTTTTACGATAACTAGAGCTAGATAAGCTATAATCTTACTATATAGCTTCGGTCGGTTACGTAAGGACCCTTAGTCCTCTATATATATATAGTTATATCTATAGCTATACTTAGAAGAACTATATCTTATCTATCCTCTAGATCTTATCTAGTAGTAAATCCTTATACTAGCTAAGCTTCTATACTTAACTACTTAAGAGCGAAAGCTTACTTAGAACTATCTCTACTAAACTCTCGAGACTAAACGATTCCTAGGGATCTAGCTTAAATTACCGACTACTTATAGTACTAAGTAACCCTCTCCTAACTATACCTAAGGTTTTAGAAATTATATAATAGTATAAGAGAGGGCCTAAACCCTAAAAAACTCTACTCTATTATAGTTAGTATATAGGATATCCTTCTAGAAGAGACCTAATCTACTAAGTAGTTAAGTAACTAGAAGTAAAACTAGAAGAGAGATATCCGATCGGAAATAAAAGCTTCCTTATCTAAATAATCTATAATCCTTATTAACTTATAGATACTAAGTATCCTAGACCTCTCCTAATAGACTTCGATATATAGGAAAATCTATATAGGGCTTATATCCTATATTCCGAATCCCTTATACCGCTACTAGAACCTTCTTACTAGCTAATAATTAATATATTACGACTAGTATTATCCTCGACTAGTAATATACTAATAATCCTACCGGCTAATATAGCTAAATCTCTCCGAGGATTATACTAAAATACCCTAGACTCTACTTCTTAGAGGGAAATTATCTATTAAGCTATCTTTAACTAGATTACGACTACCTAATATCTCCTAGGATAGATACTATAAGCCTATCTATCCTTAGCCGATCGAGATAGTACTAATACGCCCCGAGAATCTACTATAGATACTATTATCCGGAAATAACTAGTAAAAATAGTCCTAAAAATTAAAGATTATACGGATATAATTAGGAACGATAGAGCTAGGGAGTATTTATATAATTATAAATACTTCTTTATAGAAGTAAGTTAACTCTCCGACTTAATCCTCTAGGACTTAACTAAATTTATATATATATCTAGAGTACTAATAGGTAATATATAAAAGACCTACTATATATAGTCTAAATATATTAACCTAATATATAGTAAATAATATACTACTACTTAGGCTAAATTCCGAGAATAGATTAAACGCGAATTCTCGGAGTATATTAGTACTAAATATAGGATCGACTAAGTTATAATCTATAAGTAAGATAGCCGGTAGGGATTCGCTAAGTATACCCGCGATCTATAGTAGCTCGTAGCCGATTACAAATATAAGTTCCCCGAAAACCTTATTATTTAATTCCTTTACTAAGACGTCTATACTAAACTTTAGAAGAAATAGACTAAGGACCCTAATAAGCCTATAATCTTATATAGTATTATTAATCGGTTTATCTAATATTATAATCCTAGAGGTATAGCTATATCGA